TTTTTTTTTTTTTTTTAAACATTTTAAAGAAAGTACTGTACCCTGAAAAAATAGCGTGTTTAATTATGAGTTTACCTTTTAAGGTTTTATTGAAAATATATTTTAATGATATAATTACATAAAAATTAGTTTAACACTTTATTCTTATCAGGCCCGCTCACCTGCCCACGGTGGACAGTGCCCACTAATTTGTTTTGTATGAAAAGAATACGTTTTTCAATTAAATTTAATTGAATCATAATTGTGTTTCTGACTAAAGATAACGAGATCAGTGATGTACATATAAAATCTCTTATTCAATTGGTAAAGCTATAGATTTAAATATTTAATGATGTACAAATTTGTAAATTAAACAAGCCGAACTCGAATTTTAACGAGCCGAACTCGAGTTCATTTACAGTTCGTTTGGCTAACGAGTCGAGTTCGGGCTCGGGTCATTAAGGCTCGAAAATAGAATTTTTACATAACTTTTATAATTCGCCTCGTTAAAGTTCAGGATCAATTTGTAATAAAGCTCGAGCTCAAGGCCTTAACAAGTCAAGCTCGAGCTCGATTCCAGCCTCGTTTATTATTTAACGAGCTCGGCTTGTTTACACCTATTTATAAATATCTGTAATAATAATATTCTTTTGATTTGGTGGCTGTAAAATTATTAAATTGAAATAATAAAATATTTGAAACAACCAAAAGTATCCAGAAAAGTGGGCGTGGGAGAAAAGAATCTGATGACACGTGTGGTGACAGCTGTGATTTGTGATCGTTTGGCCGACAAAATAATCCAACGGCGGCGCCATTCTAACCACAGATCATGAGGTTGGATTTTAGATTTGCTTATTAATTTAGCCACATAAAAAGATCATAAATTATAATAAATTTAAAAAAAGTATATATAAGTAAAATTAATGGTATTCTCAATTTAAATATTTATTGCTCAATTTAAATAGATCATAATTGTTAAATTATTTATTAGATGACCGTGTTACAAAATTGAACAATCAATTTTTGAAATACATATTATAATTTTATGGTACCCACAATATAAGGAAAAATACTAGTTAAATAACAAATACTAATAACTTATTTAATTCACAAGTAAATAAATAGAAAATTTCGCTTTGATTTATTATGTTTGTCTAACAAAAACGTATTCTAAAAAATACTTAGGTTTGTCGGACAATCAGTCCAACCAACAAACCTATATTATAATAACCTCTCCTTTTGGCATTCAATTTCCAAAAATCATGTTTCTTGAAGTTAGTCTGCAAAACAAACTCAAAGTTGCAAAGCAGATATTTATGTTCGAATATTATGAAGTGAACTACTCAAACACAAGTCAGAGAAATTATTTATATTGATAATATTGAGAATACTTGAATTGTATTAGATTAAGAGTGAAGATTGTGTTAAAAATTTGTCTAAAATTATAGTTCCATCCAAAAAAAAAAAAAAATCATCCTACAAGACAAAGCTAAATATTTTTATTTCCAATTGCACGATGTTAAACAATTTAGTGGCTTCATATGGGATTAAAGAAAAATCCAAATTAATTACACCAAAAATAAAAAAATATTTAAAAATAAAAATACCGAATATATACAACATAGATATTTGTTCTCTTACAAAAGAGAGCACAACATAGTGATCTTTAATTTACATAGATTATAATCATTCCAACAAATTTTACATGAAATACGGCGAGCATAAGAAAGTCGCCCCAGCTGTAGCAATTCA